AAAAAAATTCCTTGAAAAGGCTGTATGTAGTTGCTTTGATCAACATTTGGAAATAATTCGGCTTTTTTTCATATTTCTCTGAGATATCCAACAACTCTGCGAAAGCTTACTTGTATCGGTTTTCCGACATATTGTGTTGCAGCCAGTGTGATAGCACCTAAGGCAACCAGCATAGCGGTATACTGATAGTTGAGCCGGTCGATGAGGTCATTTGACTGATACGACCTAAAAATGAGGAAAAATTAGCGTTTCCTAGAAAAATTCCAGCTAAATGGGTATAAACCATGGCGAGATTACCTATTATCTAAATTTAGTGACCAAATGTCATGAGGACAAATATTTTCGCAAGGTGACGAGATAACAAAAACTGATCTGCTGTGAAAGTAAGCTTACATGCGCGAGCAAGGATTTTTAGGGAAAAATTTTAAAAGTAAAACACCTAAAGAATTTCTTCTGCAGTGTGTTGGTCTAACTCCCTTTTTCCCCCAAATCATCTCCACAAAACGCAAGGTATTCATCGCATGAACCCATAAAAAGCATCGTAAAACCAACCTGCGTATCTTACTGACATAGGGGACGATCGCTCCGATCATCCTTGATCAGAAAACCCTAGAAATAGCTGAAAAAAATCAGAATAATAAAAAAAACAGTGAATTCACGAAATATCGGCGCAACTTCAGACGATCAGCTGTTAGGCTTTTTACTTGTGAGAAATAGCGACTGTGATATTGAGGACCTCGAAAAGAGAGTTTTCGTTTCAAAATAGCCAAGCATGACTATTTGCATTCTGTCAAGCAAACATGGCAATTTCATCTTCGACTTGACGGTAAGTGCCCGATGTTGGTGCCGTACACACTTCTTCGCCGTCACATCATGTAATCGCATTACAGATCACTAGAGTAGCGACAAAAAATCGATCAGACACATGCATAAAATACTGTATATTACGGTAGTTTTGATCTACAGCTTTTGGTGAAGCAAAGAAATGCAGTTCATGGCTAGTAGCTACTAGGATGGTGATGACTAAGCTATGCGTTTAGCATGACGAATCGTCATTCTACGGC